TGTCTCAAAAATAAATAAAACGTTAAAAAATTTTTTTTAAAAAAGAAAAATAACAATAAGTTCTTTAAAAAAATAAGTTAACTCTGGATGTGGAGGTGAGAAAAAAGGATATTAAGAGAGAGATGCCAGATCAAGGAAGAGGAGTTTTTTCTTTCTTTATGTGGAAGATCATTTTAATATGTTTAATATATTTTAAAGCTGATGAGAAAGACCCAGTGAAGAATGAGAGCTTTAACATGTAGTACAGAAAAGATTCTTTAAAAAAATTTTTTTAACGTTTATTTATTTTTGAGACAGAGAGAGACAGAGAATGAATGGGGAAGGGCCAGAGAGCTCTGTCAGCACAGAGCCCAACGCGGGGCTCGAACTCAGGGACCGCGAGATCATGACCTGAGCCGAAGTGGGACGCTTAACCGACTGAGCCACCCAGGCGCCCCCAGAAAAGATTCTTTCAAAAATAAAGTTTTTAAGCAGAGAGAAGTTGGAGCCAATGCACAGATGATAGAAGAAAACTAGGTATCTTTGTACATTTGCAAACTAAAAGATGTAGGAGTTACTATACATTTTCTCTGTGGATTAGAAGACAAGGTCATCTTTGTTGGAGAGGGAGGAAAGCAGGAGAATGTCTGGAGGTTGGAAGAGAGTGACAACACTTGAAAAAAGTAATTCAAGGATAAAGAGAATGAATTGACCAGGGTAATGTAGGAGGACTGTCAATGTGGAGGGTCCATTTAAGATTGATACTCATGAATTTTTAGTGAAACATTATGAAGAAAGTTGGGTGACCGTCCTTGACAGATTAGCCACCTGGTGCAAACACAGAGGAAATGGGCAGTTGATTTTCTCCAAAGCTGGATTTCTGCTGGAAATAAATTATTAAACTATAAGGGAGTTTAGGGCTTAGGAAAACAAATGTTGAAAATGGTAGACCAAGGAATCAAAACTATATAAGAAAATAAGTGCAAGGAAAAGGAAGATCTGATGGTCTGGTGGCACTGGACCTGGTACACTGACAATGGTTAGTTATTAGAACATTTCATGTTTTTTCCCATTGGCATATTTTGTCTTTATGTTTCTTCTGCAAACTGTGGATTCATTTCCTTGATAATTTCACGTTGGTATATTTCTCCCTTTTACCAATTTATATAGTGAAATGTATTTGTATAGTGAAGAACTGTATAGTGAAATATTTACATAGTGAAAATATTTGCTCTTTTCACATCAAAACAACAAATTTTGACTTAATTTTATGAGGTTGAATTTTAGTATAAACAATTTTTAAGATGTGTGTAACAATCTTAGTTTTTATCTCCATGGTTTCTGCTTCTGTTATGTGATAATTTTTAAGTGTAGAA